TCATAAAAACATTGATGTATGAATGTGTAAGATGTTAGATGTAATGTGTATTGTTTGCTTAAATATAATAAATCATTATAATATGTGTACAATTCCGTGTAAAATATAAATTCATAAATTTTAATGAATGTAACACGTTAGTGTAATCGATTTATATTTATTTAATGTCGTACAAACTCGCAGAACATTCTAATCGATTCATAAATATCGAGAAACACATATTTCCACGTAATCGATATTAAGTGCGTCACACTGGTTATTTTCCAAATTAAATCGTATTAGCGCCTTATAAATTACTTGTTGTTTGAACTATTCATCATCTGTAAATAAAGTACGATGTCAAACACGTGCATTAACATTTTTTTTTCAAATTAAACTTTTAAGTCATTTTTTTGAAAACAGAACTGGCTGCAACGTTACTCGAAAATTAGATTCTTTATTTTTTTTCTAACGAATCTCTAAAATCCACCTCTCCATTTAAAAATAGCTGGCCGATAGTAAATCTTTTATTAAATAAAATAATCGTATTTATTAGATTTCTCATTTATTTGTTTAGAAGGAGAAAAGATTAAGATTTTTTCATAAGTGAAGTGCAGATAACTCAGTGGAATGTGCTAGTGATATATCTATTGCGATGTGGGATTTGGTGCCGGTCAGATGTCGATGGATCGAGACATTGAGAAAGTGTGGAAAGACACTGCTGCGTCGTCAACGGAGACTACTTAGGCGTATTAAAAAGGTAATTAATCGAAATGTTCGTATGTATAGTACAGTCTTCTGTCTAGTCTATCTTGAGATGTTTGGTGATATTCGAACTAGGGCTATAGATATCGCTCGAATTAAAAAGCAAAGAGTACGAATCAAAGCAAATACAACTCTAAAGATTTTTAAGCCAAAAGCAAGAGTCTATTAAAGGACGCATTAAGGTGTGATTTCGCGGCACGCCGCAGCAGCTGGCATGAGTCGTCTACCGTCTGCTGTGTCCAGTGAAATCGTACCTTTAGTGTTACAGAAATTATAATTTAGCTCATCAGTTATAACATAATTCGCTTATGTAACAACTAAGGCTAATAACCCGCCTTGATCTGTTGTTTCGCAATCGCGTGACGGTATATATATGCGAAACGTAATTTCGCGATGTATGTTATTAGATCTGCAACGGTAGAATTTTTTGTATTTTGCAATTGCCCATTAACGTTGACTAAATTATTGAGTACATTCAAATGTAGACAACATAATTTCAAGCAGTATTATAAGATTCAAACTTTATGCTTGGTAGTGGTTAGCTGCGAGCACATGATTCAGGTGTCGTTCTTTGTCATTAATACTTAATTATCTGTATCCCGCGACTTCTTTCGCACGGAATTAAAAACAAAAGAAATCAATGTCTCGCCGTGCATTTTTCGGGGCAATGCGTAAGCTATATGTTATTCAAGAATGTAGCATATTTCAGCTCTAAATTTCATCGATATCGATTCATGAGTTACGTGGTAAAAAATGACCAAACTTTCTTTATCATTTTAGATATCTATTTTTGGTAAGAGCGTTAATAGTAGCGGATAATTTTGTTTATAATTAAATGAAATAAAATTTATTCTCCTATTTTAAAGTTAAGTTAGCCCTGTGATTCGAAAGTACGACCTTATTCGAACTAACTTTAATGATGTTTAATTTTTATATTTAACATATAAAAGTTATTCTTAATAGATCCTGTCAGATTTGCAAATAGTGTAATAAAATTGTGTAAAACGACCTTAGTTAATTAGTTTAGTCATCGGCATTGAACCTGGGGCACGGTTTCAAGTCATTGCTCCAGTAACAATAGTTATTGTGAAAGTGCTTGAATTAATGCTTTATATTAGTATCTTGATTGCCTATGAAGTGCTCATTGCTCTTGGAAACTTTGGAAGTGGTAGTTAAACTTTTAGGGAGGTACGTAGAAATTTTGGTTTGGGTTTTTTTATGTTTATGTTTGTTCATCTTTAAGATTTCTTGTCGTTGATGTTAATATTTCATTTCGGACTTTAATTTAGCAACGATATGTATTTATTTAAATTAGTAAAATAAATTACGTAATAAAATAAAATATTTAAACATAAATAGATTATTATTTTATAAGACACGGAAAATATTTTTTTTTATTTCTTAACTAAAATTATAAAATCGATATTTTTAATACTCTTTTAACACGTTGAGCGCTATGTCAGCCATCGGTGACAGACACTAGACTTTCCGTTTAGGCCGCGTCAGCCATCGGTGCCTGATAGCGTGTAACATGAGAACTATAAAAATATTTTGTACTGCGATCGGAAACACCGGCCCTTCAATACCAGTGCATATAAGCGGCGCTTGTGGCCTGAACGGGATTGTCTTAGAAATACAAGTGGCGCTCAACGTGTTAATAACTAAAAATGTTGTGTTGTCTATGTGTTTCAACAATGATTCTTGTAAATTTCCTTCTGCACAATAACTCTGTACGTGATGAACTTTTGAATATCTTTGATGTCTCAGCAATGTACAGTTTCACCTTGTAATTACAATTAATTGCATTTTAACATTTACCGGCTGTTAAACGGTTAAACGTGACTAAATGTGCAGTGAACGACAATTATACGTATTATAAATACGCCTTATAAAGAAAGACGCGGAAATTGTTGTTTGATTGCTGGAAAGTGTTGTTTTTTGATGTATGGAATTTATTATCTTTTTAAATTCTTCTCACTTACGGAATTCATTTTTTTTATGTTTTTGGCTTTTATAAAGATTCGTTGAATTTTATTTTTTTAAATGATTCCTGATATGTTTGATATATTGACGGGCTTAGTCGTAGAGTTTATTTGATTATATAAAAGTGTTACATAGAGGAAGTAATTATGTAAAGTGATGGCGTCAAAGGTTGCATTGGACGTACAACTTTCTAAATGCACGCCGCATCAAGAGTCAACACAAATGACATTTTGTTCATTTGTATAAACGAATGAACTTTGTGTGACGTCTGTTCTGTAATCGAGAATTTCCAATGACTGTTGTCTCTTTTTTTTCAAATAGAATGAAAGAGACTACACAATACTACAAACATGAGAACTGGATTAGCTTTATTACATTATTTGAGTAAATTCGATAGTTTTAAGATACACTTTTTGTGACAACCCTATTGATATTAATTGATTAATGATACAAGTTGTGAGTTGGCCCGGTTTAGTTTTCGGAGAAACTTAAGTGATAATAACAATCATGTTTCTCAAGCGAAGTAATTAAGCGTCAATATCCTAATGGTTAAGGATATGGATTTTCGATCACGAGGTCGGGCGTTCGAATCCCGACATTCGACTATTGTTGTAAACCATATCCTAGCACAAGCGTACAGCTTAGTTGGAATGTTAAAAGAAATATTAGTAAATTTACATAAAAAATCTGCTTATATTTAAAAAAAAAGTTTCGGGTTATATGTTTTCCTATGAATTTTATTATATACAAACAATTTATAGTGCTTCTTGTAATTTTAAAGTGAATCTTACAAGTTTACTTACAAGTTTAGATGTTTGGATGCAACAGATATCTCCAGAACGGCTGCGTGAATCTCGATGAAATTTAGCATAGATGTAGAACATAGTCTGGAAGGATACATAGGCTACTAATTAAGTTTTTTTTTATTCTGCACGGACAGAGTCCTGGGCGACAGCTACTTTTAATATGATTTTAACCCTTTAATTCCCGCTATTTTAAAATGTTTTTTCAAATAACTACCTAGAAAGTATAGTTACTGGAATGAGGTTTTTTATGTTACTAAAATATTGGTGACCTACAGACCTTGACGAATCGTTCGTGAGGTCTGTGCCTCAACATTATGTAACTGTGCAAAGAAACGCAAAAAACAAGTATCGGTTAAATTATGTAATGTGTTTTTATAACAGTGAAAGGTTAACAAACTGTTGGTTAATTAAAATTTACTGATATGTTTTTTTATCTATATTTTTTATGATTTTGGATCGTGGTTAAAATTATTTGTAGTTTAAATTTGTGCATTTATAATATAGTCAACAATAGCTTTGTTATCAGTATGGTGAATACACTATACTGATAACAAGAACAATAGTTCGGAAATTCAAAGGAAAAATGCACATACACTTTTGTGTAATCTATTCTCTCCATCTCTCTATCCATCCATTTTTATGGACAAAATAAGGTTATTTCCAGTAAGAAATAAAATCATAAGAAAAGCACCAATCTAAAGGACAAAGGGTCTTGTTACCTTGGTTTAGTATATCCTTGAATGTTTCTATAATAATCTTTATCTGAAATTATAAATACGAACGTTTAGATGTAACGTATCTTGATGAAATATGGCACAGATATAGAACATAGTCTGGAAAACACATTAAGTGTTTTTGTTAATTCCGTATGGATGGAGTCGCGGGCGACAGCTAGACTTTATTTAGCTAGACTAAAACATAGTTCATATGTTGTATCGACACGTGAGCTAAGCAAAAGTGAAACCCCACGCGGCGTAACAGCGCCGGTTGGGCAATACGTCGGCACTGCGCGGCAATGCATTGCGACACTAACACGCCTTCAGTATTGTTCATGCGATACTCGTCTGTTTTATGACTAAAATAATACATACAAGATAAAGATTATACAAAGCCTGTATGCAGATTTAAAAGCGAACATGTAAAAAAATGCAGCTGTCTTGTGCTTGATCCTTTATCTAATAGAGTTTAGGACCAATATTTAATTGGTTTTGGTAAAATTATGGCAGTACTAAACGTGACGAGGTTGCGTTCCTATCAGAGATCGCGGCCTCTTATAATCTCTGTTAATGACCACCGTGAGGTTTTGTTCCTTGCAAGTATGACACAAAATATATCTAAAGCCAATAGAGATTTATGCTTTAGACTTTTTCCAACTTGAAAAAAAGCCTACAATAGTAACAGTAATAATCTTAATAATTATGATTATTAATATAATATTATTCTTATGTTTTAAATTCCATGTTCCAGGTTTACCTGCACAGTTGGCGGTCAGCGAGCGAGCTGAACATGCTCGTTGGCGCCAAGGTTGGCGGCGCCACGCCCCTTGTTATCGCCTGCAGGAACGGACACTACGACGTTGCAGAGTACCTAATAGAGAGATGTAAAGCTGATATAGAGCAGCCAGGTTCAGGTAATACATACTGAAATAGGAATAAAGGTCATGGCTCATTAGACTCTGAACGATGGCCAAACGTTAACGATGAGTGAACATCGCGATGAGTATAATGAATCTTTATTTAAAAAATAAATATTTAATTTCTATTTCAAGTGAGGTTGGCAATAAGAAGGCCGGTCGTAAAAATTAATCCAAAAATTTAGGGTTGATAAAACCTAGTTCGCGGACCATATAAGGTTTAAAAAACAGAGAAACATTTGCCAAAATATTTGTTAAAAATATATTTTCTCAGAGGAATTTTTAATTTTATTTTCAAGTGTCTTATTACATTGGTTCTTAATAATTAAATGTATGTGAATAAGTGCGGATACCAGTTCTTTGGATGACCGAGACTCTAATCAAGTGGTTACATATTCAAACATCTGCATTGAATTTATCGAGCAAATATCTCACACATGTTTTATGCCAATCACTGCAGACAGTCAACGCAATTGATTCTAATTATAGAGAGGCAACTGTTGTTGACAAGTTTAGTTTACGTTGATACCAAACAATAGATTCGCAACGAGTGGATTGGCAATTGTTTTAAACAGTTCAACCAATTTGTGCAGTGGAATTCCCCTCTAATGCTTAAAACTGCGAGTATATTCGTGTTTTTTGATTGAAAACTTTGTATTTAAATGTCGCACGTTTATATTTTTATCGATTTACGTGTGTGTTTCAAATCGAAGGGCCAGGCAAATCTTTCTTATCGCAGTATAAACTAGATAATATTTTTTAAAGTAAAGTGAATTTCTTTCCATATTACTATCACAATTTTAATCATAATCAAAAAATCGTTACGCTTTTAATATAACCAAATAAAATATAAATATTAAATGTTCATTTACTTTACGCTTTCGCCGATGTAGTGCTCGCAAATTGACGGAGATGTTTTTGCGTTGCCGCTAAATTTATCTCGGTCAAGACGTAATTTTATTACGGACGATGTTTTTCGACTCGATGCGTAATGCTTGGAGAGATTTCCTTTTCAAATTTGTGCAATATAATAAAAGCAATATTGCAAACAATGAAAACATAGCAAATTTAATATCACATTAGTTTTAATTTGATTCCGGTCACTTTAACCCGTTCTGAACATTTGCCTTTACAATGTTAAGTTTGATTTTGGTTATGGAAACTCACTATAATAATCGTATCACTCGACCTTGATTCTCTTCAGTTCTAGAAAATTCTAAGAATATTTTTATGAAATAGGCTAGAGAACATGAAAGTATTTGTAATTACCGTACATGTTTATGAGCGTGTATATTTTTGTCGACGTTACCATTTGAGAAAGGAGTGAAATGGATAAGTGCCAAATTGACGCAACAGGAACTAACAATTGTAACGCCGAATTATTACAATAAAGCTGTCGTCTGCGACACCGTTCGCGTGGTAAAAAAAACCTAATTAGTGGCCTATGTACTCTTACAGACTATGTGCTACATCTATCCCAAATATCATCTTGATCCGTTGATCCGATCCGGAGATAACTTCTAATAAACATTCATCTATTCATGTAAACTTTTGCATTTATAATATAAGTAAGATTAGATTAAATGTTGGTTGAGTTGTAGATAGCTAGCAAATTGCAAAGGTGGAAAAATCTTCGTTAACAAATATTAAATAAAATTAATATTTACATCTGTACTTATAAGATCTTTTTTTCCTTTGCAGTGACATTTGATGGCGAGACTATAGAGGGTGCGCCGCCACTGTGGTGCGCGGCAGCAGCTGGTCATATGCCTCTGGTGCGGCTTCTGGTGCGTGCCGGTGCTAATGTCAATTCCACAACTCGCACGCATAGCACACCCCTAAGGGCAGCGTGCTTTGATGGTCATTATGACATCGTCAAGTTCCTAGTGGAGAATGGTGCTGGTTAGTACTACTTCATATTAAGTTGTAGATAGCGTGGTTACGGTGCCTTAACACTATGGATTCCGGTGCGTTCCTCGGAGATCTACTAAAGGTTGGCCACCGAGAGGGTCTTAGTGGATCAAACACCATTTAACAATGTGTTCCCCCCAGAAGGCAGGGTATCTTTCGAAGATCCCCCATACTACAAAAATATAGATAGGAGAAGATCTGATATTGACGTCAAATGTAAGTTGTCTACATTACTAGAGATCCGAAGCAGTGCCAACCATTAATGTTATTTGTGCTATTTTTGTTGATTGTTTAAAGTACCACGATATCACAATAGATGTATCAATAATCGCATAAAAACCTTAGGATTGTAATTTTAGAAATCACGTGTAATAGAGAGGTGAATTACCCAGTAATGGACCACACCGAATATGGCATAGTGATACGTCTAACTTTAACAAACTGTATTGTATTTCATTTCAGACATAGAAATAGCGAATCGCCACGGCCACACGTGTCTGATGATCGCCTGCTACAAGGGACACATCAGAATCGCCAAGTATTTACTCTCTCTGAATGCGGATGTGAACAGAAAGAGTGTGAAAGGAAATACTGCGCTGCACGACTGCGCGGAGAGCGGCTCGTTGCATATACTCAAAATGTTACTTGGACACGGAGCTACAATGGACGTTGACTCTTATGGTAAGTTAATTTAAAAGCTATGATTCAATGCAGGATAATGCATATTTCTTTTGCAAACTTATAGAATTTAATTTTTAACTGACCATAAATGTTGCTTTCACCTCGTAGGTATGACACCTTTGCTTGCCGCGTCAGTAACGGGGCACACACACATAGTGGAACACCTGATCAGTGCTGAGCAGGGCCTGGTCAGTCGGCAGCAGAGGATAGATGCCCTCGAGCTGCTCGGAGCTACATATGTGGATAAGAAACGAGACATGGTCGGAGCACTGGCGTTGTGGAAACGAGCTATGGATGATAGGTGTGTGTTTATTGGAAAATAGTACGCAATCATCAAGACAGTTCTGGTGTCAAGTTTACACTATTGGTTCCTTAAGATAGATCAGATTTCCATCCTCTTCTAAACAGTTGATCATGTTTTTCTATTATTATTATGACCTTTAAATACATCATCATCAACCTGCCCTATTGAGGATCGGCACAGTATGTACTACTCCTCCATACATCTCTATTAGCCGTCATATCCGAGTCTACCCCCTTCTTACGTATATCCTCTTTCACACAGTAATTCCATACTTTTTTTAGCCATCCTCTACCTTTGAAGCCATCCACATTCAATCTCATTACTTTTTTGCTTATAAATACGTTAAATTTAAACATAATTAATACATTCATATTAATGATGTAAAAAAATACGGACGAATTGATAACTTCCTTATTTTTGAAGTCGGTTTTTTTTAAACTATTTTTTTTATTAAAAAGATTTTTTTTTATTTGTTAGAAATATATCAAATGTCTTTGATTAGTTATTTAATCTGTTTGAAATTGTTTTCAGATTCCCAGCGGACGGTAGCGATCCGATACCAAAGCCGAAGGATATACCGCGCATTGAAGCATACGACTACGCAGTGGAGCCGAGCGATGCACAGCAGCTGGAGGAGATCCTCGCAGATCCTGACGCTATGAGGATGCAGGCTTTAGTCATTAGAGAACGAATATTAGGTCAGTGGCTATTTAAATGTTTGAATAAAGGATATTGTGTGAAAATTTGTGCCGTTGTCCTTGCATTGTGTAAGGAAGAAAAGATCATTTTTCTCTTCATAAAGTTACTCGTATCTGATTTTGTGAAAAAAAAAAACAAAAGCCACTTGCATCAAGATTTATGAGTTTGTGTGACTATAATGTATACTATATTTCAAATATCTAAGCTGCTCGGAATTTTGTACATACCGCTGCGCTGATAACAATTTTAATTGAAGGTACTGCGTAGTGCAGATGACCTTGAGCCTTCAAGATATTTGAAAAATAAGAGTAGCGTAACATAAGTATTGCGTGGTAACGTCAGGTCCGGCGCACCCCGACACATCGTACTACGTGCGGTACCGGGGCGCGGTGTACGCGGACGCGGGCAGGTTCGCGCGCTGCCGCCAGCTGTGGCACCACGCGCTCGACATGCAGCGCGCCGTGCTGCCGCCGCTCTCACCCCTCACGCAGTCCAGCCTCTACAGCTTCGCTGAACTATTCTCCTACATGCTGGCTGAGCGCGCCAGACCCCCGCTACGAGGTCAGATAAGTCTCAGTCTGTTCCACTTCATCTTTTGTTTGATGTTATAAGGTGGCAAACGCAATTGGACACTTATATGAAGATGCGTTGTCCAGTTTTAATCGACGGAGCAGGGGACACACAAAAATGTGATTCTATCAGGGTTTCATCTTTTTCCGTTCGAAGTATGGAACCCTAAAACGATATATCCCCTTCCTATGCGTCTCGTCCTCTGTCCAATTAGCTTGCAATTATTCTCTTACTTTAAAGTTACTTGGTCTCTCTTAGTGTAGAGTTAGTATGTAAAATATATAGTCATCATCTCCATGGGGTAAGTGGATTAAGACTTACCTATGGTCGGCACAAAGATTTATAAAACCTTAATGTTTTGGCCGGTTGGATGTCGCCAGCACTACTTAAAAGGATGAAAAGTAAAATAAATTCCAGCTCGATTTCATTTCATTTTATTCACGGATCCCTGAGAAAAAGAGTCTTGACAGACAGACGGACAACAAAGAGATCCTATAAGGGATCCGTTTTTATCCTTTCTTGGTACGGAACCCTAAAAATGAAAAATATAGTAAATTAATATTTGTGTATTTCAGGTCGTATAGTTCCGCCGGTGTTGTTCGAGGACATCGAGCCGGTGTTCAAGAAGACGCTGAGTGAGATAGAGCGCGGCAGTGCGCTGCTTCAGTCGCGGCTCAGCCTCGACCGCGAGCAGACGCTCGGCACGCTGCAGCGCGTGCTCGTCATCTCGCTGCACCTCGCCGCTCTCTGCGCGCGTCTGCTCGACCACAATGACTGCTCCGAACACGATAGGAGGAACATTGAAAAGGCTGTCTACTCACTTGTTAAGTTAGATATTAAGGTGAGTGCACACGATAACACGCCAGGCTTATATTGATAAGTAGAAAGTGACTCTTGTACGATACTTAGGATTCAACAAGTAGGAACTTTCATTTTTGTTTCGTCGTCTGCAATTTAGACAAATCTGACCCGATGAGAGAGGCGCTACTACCGCAGGTCTGTAAGAAAATATGTAAAACCGAGCTTTACATAAAAGAAAAAAATAACATTACAGCTGTAGTATGAAAAAGGACCTCGGGACACTTTTTTGACATTGACAGAGGGGCGCTAGTGTGCTATCATAATTTAGTTTGATTTACCACCGGCTCAGATATCCTTGTCGGTTTGTAGTTCTATGTAAACATTATCAATGTTATTTTGATATGGATAGGTTTTATAGGAGATACATTTATAATTTCCATCCTCTGACATGAGAATGTTACGTATAGGTACGTCAAGGTCGTTCCGCGCTGCACATAGCGTGTTCCGCGGAGGGCGCCAGGTCGCGCGGCGGCTCCGGCGCCTGGCTGCCGGCGCCCGGCGACGCTCAGCCCTGCTGCGGCGCCCTCGTCGCACTCATGTTGCGTCTGGGCGCCGCGCCCGACGCACGTGACGCTGACGGCAACACGCCACTGCATTTAGCCTGCAAGGTAACGCCCTACTATACAAACACGCTGTATACAGATGAATTTTTTTTTAGTCTGTTCCTACACATAGATGTTTGACAGATTTGTAAGTTATCTTACTGGGAGTCTTATCAACGGCAGGCAAGGCATTTGCAATTGTGGATGTCTGGGCAGTTATTATTGCGCCATTTTGGCGATTTAAGGTGACCTAATAATGTAAAAAATTGCTCTAATAATATAAAAAAATTTCATTCATGTGATTAATGTATTACAGCTCAACCCGTGTCCAAAGGGCGTAGTACGTGCACTCCTAGCGCACGGCGCGCACATCGACACAGTCAACTACGAAGGAGAGACGCCCGAAGAGATCCTGAAAGCGAGTCAACAGAGTCTCTCCTCTATAGTGAATCCTTTACAGTACACATCTCTGAAGTGCCTCGCCGCTCGCACAGTCAAGAACTACAAGCTGCCCTACAGACATGTCGTCCCACAATGCCTACACTCCACTATCATAACGCATTGACATTAAAAAAAAAACTTTAAAAAAGAACCTTGCCATTTAAAAATAAACTGTAAAAAATAGGCAACCCATCTGTAGTTGCGGATGTCTATGGGAAGCATATTTCGCTATTTCGGCGAATCCAGATGACCGAAAACTCCTTTCCCTAATAAATTTTTTAAACTCTGTGGTTCTGTTGTCTGTCTATGGTTTTTTGTTTATTCCGACTGGCCAATTGTCAAATTAAATACACAGCATGTTTTTAATTATTAAATATCTTAAATATTGCAACTCTAGTCCTAAGCATTATTTTTTGACATTTAATTCCTCAGGGTCCATTCAGACAGAACGGGGCAGGACAGATTATTTTATCGCAAATAAAATTAAGCCTTATAAGATTGGAACAATGTTTAATTTTACTGCATACGTCTTTTCTTGTCAACAGCAAGCGAGAAAAAAATTACTTAAATTTAGTCTAAATTTGTGAACAGAATACATCAATAACGACATTACTAAGAAATGATTTCGTCCTTTTAAATATTTGATAATGTAACGAATTGCTTCAAATGACAGATAAATATTTTTATACGCAAAAAATAACCGACGACCAATGACATTTGGATTTGGCGCCATATTTGACACCTGTCAAAACTTGTCAATTGTCATAAGTAGTTTGCATAGCGTAGTGTTTTTACTTACACTTCGAACTTTATAATTATTTAAAAATATCATTAGCTTTTCGTAACATGCACAAAGTTACGTAGTTTCTTAATTTCATACATTTGACATTTTTAAATCTTTGATATAAAAGTATTGTTTGTTTATTTGAATGCAAGGTCTTTTTTAAATAAATAAAATAATTTTTGTTGATAAAAGCTACTTAATTTTAAATGTCTTAAAACAGTGAAGAAGAAGAAAGATAAATAAATGGCTTTTACCACAGAATATATGAATTGAAGTCATTGGCCGTCGTATTTTACTGCACTGAGAATCGTTTCAACACATATCGTCATCCCTCTCATTTATTTAGAGAAAACAGAAACGAAAATGAATATAAGTTTCACCGCAGTGGAGTTCTACTTTGCAAAACAATGTAGTCTATTCGTAAGTTCATATCCTTTTTAGTGAATTTAATTTGACATATTAATATTGTTGCATAAAATATCAATGACTAGTCTTTGTTTTAGTGTATTCTGGGATTTTTTTTATTAACATTTACTGTCTATGATTTTATAATAAATGTATGACGTTGATTTGTGTGAATTCCGCCCGTTACACTGATTTTTGTCTGTGATTTTGATGTTTTTTTTTATGTTTTTGGATGATCTATTTTCAGTCGAGCCGGGCTTGGTTGAACAATATCAACTGTGACTATGTGGTTCAAGATGATTTGATGTTTTTGAAGTGATTTATTTTTTTGAATCGATTTGGATTGTATTACTCTGAACAGACAAAAGTAAACATTTTAAATTCTTAAGTCCACTTTAGTCAAATTCATGGTATAATATTAAATGTGTTCATATCCAAAATTGTATTTCTTGAATATTATAGCGTCTAATTTTTAATTTTATTTTGATATTTTGTATTGTATTATTTTATTTTATAATAATATTATTTCAATGCAATTAATCTAACAAATGAGGTTCCAAGATTAAATTTTGATAAAAACAAAGATTTTCTCTCCCTATGGACTTAATATAAAGTTGAAAAACTCTGAAAGGAATTTAGAAATCACAAAACTTTATCAAACTGTATAAATTTTGAGTAAATACAATCTAAACGATTTGATGCGCCATAATAAAATCGATTAATTTTTAACGTTGTAATTAAATAAATTAAATTCTGTAATAGTGTAAAGAGCGGAAAAACTGTCCATACGTATATCATTGTAAAAATATTAGTTTATAAGTAGTTAGATAAATAGAATAATAAAGGGTTATATTTGAATAAAATGCTATAGTTAATTAGTATAAATTACAAAGTTATTGCATTGTACAATGAAATATAAATAAATGTCCACTTGCATTTCGCTATCGGATGTCTTGTGTATTTTTGTCATAGTATATTTTGAATTTAGTAGCGCTGCGTGCTTATATATTAGATATTTTTGAAATTAATAAAAAATGCTTTAAAATATAATGGAGTTTTACTTTTACTTCCCCATTTATATTAGATGAAAAATAAATTCATATCTTTTCATGGTTATTTCTAAGCAAATTAATAGAATTAAAGTTAATTAAAACACAGGATTTAATAAATTGTATTTATTTTTATAATTTAGGTTACAAAAAAAATCATCAAGTAAAAGTGAATACATAATTTGGTCACAAAAATACAAAATGTATTTAAAATTAAAAACAACTATATCGGAATCTTAGCAATTAAATAGCAATTAGGGAAGTCGCTAATCTACTCTAACAAGTACACTGTAATATTATCAAGAGGAAATATTTGATTGTTTACATTGAACATGATCTGAAACTACTTAACTGATTGAAAAATTCTTTCACTGTTGCGAAGTTTCACGCACCGCGATTTACGTAACAGTAGTAGAGCCCGCTTTAACATCTTTGCACGAATTGGCCCGGCTTGCCCGGTGAAATACCACGACCACACAGAAGACAGGCGTGAAGTGGAAGCAGTTCCGCGTTTCGTTTGATGAGTGTGCGTCCCGGAGGCCTAATTTAGTCCTCTTTCCCTTCCCACCCATTTTCTTATAAGAAAGGGATGGGAAGTGGAAGTGGACTTTCCGGATGAGAGGATGCATGGGAAGGGAAAATATTTTCTTTCTGTGCATCTCTCCTCCGTCGATTAAAGGTAGGCAACGCTTAGCAATTGCGTATGTCTATGAGCAACGGTCATTTCGCTATTTCAACGATTTCAGGTGGCCGCTCGCTCGTTTGCCACCTTATGATATATAAAAAAATCCACAGGTAACATAGGCAGATGTTTTTCACTTCGCGCACACGAAGTTGCGGGCAACTAACTACCAGTAACCATTTTAGACGCACTGTGGCACTAAAGGTGTTATTTTAACTTTAGAAGTATTACTTACATTCAAAATTGGAAACATATTTTTAAGTCATCTGGAACTGTTTTCAGAAACTCTTTTAAATCATCCTTAGATGCGCCGGGAAATTCCATCCAAAGGTGGAACAACCTCGCCTGGTTATTCATTAAATCCTTTCCTAATGTCACATTATTATTATTTTTAATCTTCGCAATTTTTATTACCAGTTCTTGTGTGATTTTTTTCTTTTGCAATTTCCTCAATGCGCATATCAAAGGCCAGTATTCGAATTGATCGTAAAAATGTTCAGTCCCACTGACAGCTGACAGATAGAGTTTGCATTTTTCAGTGCTGCCATTATCCCATTTTAATCCTAACGCGAGGGCTTCGCTAGACTGCACTGCGGGAAATCTTTTGCGATTGTCGAAAGTATACGCTGCTACCAAGCCACTTAGACGGTTCATAGTAAATTCGTAGTTTTCAATATTCACTTTATCTCCTGTCCTTTTCACGAGTAATGGTGTACTAAAAGGAAATTGTAAACTTTACGTCAAAACATTATTGTTATAGTAAATGTCTCTTATCTTATATCTTTAAATGAGCAATTCTTGTATATATATTTATATTTGGAATCTCGGAATCGGCTCCAACGATTTTCATAAAATTTAGCATATAGGGGTTTCGGGGGCGATAAATCGATCTAGCTAGGAATCATTTTTAGAAAATGTCATTTTATTCGAGTTTTATCGATAATCAACTTAAACATAAACTTAACTTTTTGTATCGGTAAGATCGAAAAATATTATTCATATTTCATCATTTTATTAGTAATTCGTACTTAAATGTAATTTCCAAAAAACACAATTAAAAAAAAAATACTTCAAGGTACTAATAAATAAGTTAATATCAATACTTAGCGACCACTACATTATTATATTTTTTTTGTCGAAAATAATTAATGGATTGAAATTGTATATTACGGATACGATTAAAATGTCATGCAGTTTACAACTTATAATAAGTAGGCTGTATTAAAAGTTTAAAATGTAGGCTTTAATATAGACCAATTTTAATGAACACACACTTACTTTTTCTCCAACTCCACTCCATCAACCATGACAACTTGGCCGGGAGCGACACTCTTCAATTTTTTTCGTAGTTCATAGCCTTTCGACAGAATTGTCTCTATGTTGTTACTATGACGAAGAAATTCCGAGTTCTTGTAAACTCCGTAGAAGATTCGACCAGAAAAATGAACAATATCTCGTTGAGTTGGTTTACTTGTTGAAGAAAATTTAAAAGTCTCCATATTTAAATCTGTAACAAAATGAATATATCATAGTAGCTTTAAAATACATCTTGTATGTAAGCGTTTAAATAAAAAAATAATTTAACTAAATAGTTACTTAATAGCACAGATAACACAACAGTATACTAGTAAGTAAATAAACATTTAATTAGCCGTTAAGAAAGATAAACAAGTGATTAAAATTACTTAGCTTAGTGATATGATAGTAAAATTTTATTATTGTCAACTGTTTACTGAGTCTCCTTTTACAGCTTGATCAATTAACCTTACCTTTGTATTCACTTGTCACTTGAGATGCACTCAACAAAAATTTTTTCAAAGAATATAGTAGAAAAAATAGAAAGTTACAAACAACGTAACCAAATGACCCATTAAATATAAGATTACAAAACAATACACTGTGGTGAAGCGTTGACTAACAGCGACTGATGGACTGACGTTATTAAAATCACAACACAAAAGGAAAAAAAACAAAAGGGGAATTCCCAACTATTGTTGCCAGTTACAAGTTTAAATTTAAAATGTTTAAAAATTAAGCAACATTTTTTCGAAAGATAAAATTAAAAATATACTAATATGAAAGGAATAAGAATCCAAAATTAAATTTATTTTGAAATATTAAAAGTACAAACAATTTTGCTAAAGCGACATCTGTATCCAAAGGAACAGTAAACAATTTAAAAAGATACGCATTTTCAAACAGATGTCGCCACTTGCTAGTAAAAGCTGGTTACTCTGTTAACTTCGTTCTGCACGTTTTAATTCTTTCTTATTAATATTATAAATGCGAGTGTTTAGATGGATGGGGATGAGTGGATGATTGTTTGAAGGTATCGTGGGAACGGCTGAATGGAACTCGAAGAAATTTGGCATACATATAGAACAGTTTGGAAGAACACACAGGGAACTTATTACGTTTTTTTTTTTAATTCCGTGCGGACGCAGTGGTGCGAGACAGCTAGTCTGTATATAAAATACATTTCATACAAGCGATTCATTGATAGATGAATGACTCATTTCATCAATGTGAAGCAGACCGACGAACTTTTATTACATAATTACTAATGTAGTTTGAACTACGATATTAGCACAGAGTATTGGATTTTTTTAAATATATTCCAATTTGTATATAACATGTACCTATTTTGTGCAGCAAAATGGGAAAACTTAAACACATAAATCAGACGAGAGAGAAATGAAACGATTAGCCATCTGTGATATAGGGCGGACCTCTTTCAAGAGGTTTTCGTGTTCGTTACGAAATCGTTGCTGTAATTACGTCTGAGTGTAGCTGGAGAGATTTACTCGAGCAACAAGCTTTACTTGATAATCCGATTAAAACGAACTTTATTATATAATTATACTATCACAAATAAATTGATAATAGCTGGGGGAGAGTGGCCTAGGATCGTGCTCAGTGGCGTGCCATGGGAGAGGCCTATGTCCAGCAGTTGACTAGTATAGGCTGATGATGATGAAATAAATTTACACGTATAATAATTTGTGTATTGCTAATGTTTGGATGTGTCATATGTTTGTTAGAAGATATCTCCAGAACAACTCATCCGATCTCGACGAAATTTGTCATAGAAGTTAAACATAGTCTGGAAAAACATTGGCTACTAATTAAGTTTATTTAATTCTGTGAGGATGGAGTCGCGGAGAATGAAAACAGCTAGCGAAAAGGTTTTACATGATTCATAAAGTTTAGCCTTAGTAATTATTTATTATAATATCAGACAACAATAAAATAACGCAACAGATTTTCTATTATTTGATATTATTCGAAGATATAAATCGAGTTAAACCGATTCATTACAGAACAAGCTGAATCGTAAAAAGGGGGGAAAGATTTAAAAGGCGATTGTCGGAGAGTGATTTGTTGAAAATTCGTGTTCTCTTTTAATATAATTGTAGGTGGTTTATCTGTTGTACGGATTACGTTCGGGGATTACGGACGCCGCCGGGCCGCACAAATTGAATTGTAATACGCTGCCATTATTAATAACAACGGACAATTTAGGGTTGACAAAAATTTTACAATCCAAAATTTAAAACTTAAAATTTGATACTTATTTGTTGGTTATCTTACTAATGTATTTTTAATTATAAATGCTAAAGTTTAGATCGTTGGATGGATGGATGTCTGCATGGCACAGATGCAGAACATAGGCTGAAGACTACAAATTAAGTTTTTTTTTTATTCCGGGCGTGCGGAGTTTCGGTTGGCAGCTAGTTACTTATAAATACGCATACGCTATGACATGAATAAAAAAGTGTGTTCATGCAAAAATAGAGACAGCTGTACGAAGTATTATGCCAATTAAAAAATCAATTTAGAACTTTTTGATATAAAACTGCAATCAACTGACATTGTTATGTAATCGAGATATTATCAACTAGACATAACCCTATCAACGGGCGGGTTCAATGGGGCGCAATATTTTTTCCGCAAATTATAAGCGACTCCCTTCATATTCCGCGAATCGGACATATTTGTACAATCGTCTGTTTCACAATGCTTTTTCTGTTTAATAGTCTTTCTAACGTTGTGCCCTTTCGAACAATACCTTGGTCAGAGAGAGTTAAACTTTTATTTGTGATTATTGTCATTTCGAAATTAAATTAATAACATAATGAACAATACAATTTGATGACAAAATAGGTAGTTAACTAATTACTAAAATCTTACACAATGTACCTCTATCGAGTATCTACATTTACTGTATTAGCTGTCGCAAGCGACTCCGTCCGCATGGTGTTAAAAATATAATTACTAGCCTATGTGTTCTCCCAGACTATGTTCTACATCTATGCCAAATTTTATCCATTGTTTTGGAGATAACATTTAATCATCCGTACATCCAAACATTGCCATTTATAATATTAGTAAGATGATTTACTTTAAACAATTCATCAATAAATCGGATACTCTTACGTTATTCGTAGAAAAAATGGTGGAAAAATATATATAATTTGTAAAATTTCTGTGTTTTTGAGAACAAAAAGATAAAATTTTTCCTAACCTTAAAGTCACTTAAGCCTAGTCGGATAACATTTTATGTAACAAGATACTCGTATCTTTAAGACAGTTAAGCAAGACATGGATGTGTAAAATAGAGGTGTCATAAAAATGCATGAGGCATAGGGAATGGGCATCTAACAAGAGCCGTCTTGTTTACGCTCCCCTGTTATTCCGCGCCAACGGTAATTTTGACAAACGACCAACAGTCCCCCTCCCGCCCTTCGCTTCTGACCCTGCACTCAAACGTAAGACAAAAGAGAATTGTACTTTGCAACTAAATGTATCAAGATGTGTAGATACCTATGGTTACCTAATAGCTCAAATTATTGCTAGAAATTTTTGTCCCATAATATGGTAGTTTAAACTAGAAAAGCTTTTTGGACTGTTAAAAAACGTTTACGAAAACGACTTACGTGGTAATTACTTTCACAAATAACGGGCAGATCTAGACCATAAATATTATGATGAAATCGTCTTTGTATGTGTACCATAGATTTGTAAGTTCTTAAAACTAACAACTTTACTTAATTGAATTATATTCCGTAGAAATCTTGATAATAACGTTTACTATAAGAATCGTTTAAACAAGGAAATATGCCGTAGCTTAATTAATTCCGGCAAAATTCTCATTCCCCACATTGTCTGAGCTGGTGGGCTGAGGAGGGATAGGTAGGGGATGAGGTGTGGGCGTGCGCCGCGGCGGAACGGGGAGAGGCATCTCGTTTTAACTTTCCGCGCCGATGCTACCACCTCGATAACTTCTACCATTGTCCACTCGAAATTAATAGGTAAAATATCGGAACAACGAAATAAACCTATTTTGACAGAGTTACAAGGGACAGTAGACTCGAGCATTTGTAATAAATTCCAACCTTATACCTCTATGACTTACTGAGAAAAAGGATCTTGACAGACAGATAGATTTTCATACAAAGGTCTATAAAGTTTACGTTCATACATATCTAATTTGTTCTAAGTGAACATATTACACATTACGAGTGTGAAAATTGTGCAAAATCTTTCATTATCGCAGTTTATCACTCGAACTCGAACCAATCGACTTTAAGTCAGAATATTTTCGAGAACCATTATTAGTGTTGCGGTATTCAATTAACTAGAGGCCCGTTGTAGTGCCTTCGCACTTTTAGTTATGTCTGACAACGTTAGGCTGGAACGCCGCCGCCGCTCTGAAAGCAATTTTCCCTGTTTGTTGCTTGTTATGTGGCAGCCGATTGTTTGTTGAACGAACAGACTTATTTCTTGTTAGTAAGTTGTAAGACAAACGATTAATCTATACCGATGTATTTTAATCATGTAAAGACAATTCTACACTTTAGAAACAAAGACAAGAATAATATTTTATAGAATTATTGTCTACGGAACTTTTGTAATCTTTCCTAATTTACTAATAATATTTTAAATTGACCTGAGTGATATTAGGTTTTTGTTAGCTAACAGATTAGTTAATGACGCGGTCTAACCCGACGGTTTCGGGTTGCGCTTCGAGCTTCGCGCCCCCAAAGTAATTAATGTCACTGTATATAGTTGACAGGTAACTTTTTTATTTAACACCATTATAATCTTTATCATTTATTCACAAGTATGTAAAGAGGAAAGTTAAACAATGGCTCACGGTCGGTTTCCATTATCGAAAAACATGTATAAACTCAACTAGATTAAAAATGTATAATAAAAACATAAATTTTTGCAAATTTTTTATATCAAATTTTAATCATTTTCAAATTATTATACATTTATTAAGTTATATCTATTTTTATTAACTTTGATTATTTGTTTTTAATCTATTATTAAAAAAAAACTTTATTAATAGTCTATGTTCTACATCCAGCTAATTATCAGCGAGATCCATGCATACATTCTGGAGATACCTTCAAACAGACATCCATCCAACCATCCAAACATTCGCATTTATAATATTAGTAAGAAGTAAGATTATACCCTTGAATAGATAACTACATAATGACGTACATACACAAAATTTCCATCCACACCAGGTTCCATCCACACCACCTGGATGGCTGGAATTCCACAACGGTGCGATTCTCGCGCAACTTCTTGCCTCGCACAGCCGCGTTGTGGAACGGTCTGTCCTCGGCGGTATTTCCAAACCAATACGACTTAGGGTCCTTCAAGAAGCGAGCATATCACCACCTCAAAGGCCGGCAACGCATCTGCGGTTCCTCTGGTATTGCTGATGTCCATGGGCGTCGTTGAACACTTCGGTGTTCCCGCTGCTCGTTTGCCCCCTTCTGTTATAAAAAAAAAATATATAACATCTGTATAATAGTTGTTTCTTAGTCATAAAAATGTAATATTTAATATTATTTTATGCATAGTACAGACAAATTTTTAAGCTTAAAATTCGGTATAGCTT